AATATCTAATCATATATTTTGATTAGATGTTTAGTTTTTTTTTAATGTTAAAATATATAGGTGTTAGTGATTTTAATCTCGACACTTTTTATTTTTATGATTTATTGTAACGATGTTTGATCGTTTTATACGATTGGTATTGAAGAAATTGAAAATATTCAAGAAATACAAGTAAAATGTAATATTTTTCAAATATTAAATGAGAGATTACATTTAACTACCAATCATTTCCATGTGACTTGTTTATCGTAAATTAGAAAAATGATAATAATGCTATTACGATAACGAGACACATCATTAAATATATAATTAGTTCACGTTTCTTTTCATTTTCAATTACAATTGATTGGATATCGTTAATATGAAAATAATAATAATTATTATTATTATGACATATGATAACTGATAATAAAAAAAGTCATGGAATAAAAATTTCCATTGTAATATACATCGTAATTGTGAGTATTTAATATTACAATACGATTATGTTCTTAAAAGCTTACTACTAAAACTTTGAATAACTGATAACAATTGATATCACTGTTATTATAAAATCAAGAACCAGCGATAAGAAACTTGCCAGAGTCAAATATCAAAAAGGAACATTTTTTTTTTTTTTTTTACAATAAGAACAACACAAATGTTTCATTCGATCATTTTAAAGTGAATAGAAAAAGAAAATATTCTTATCTTATTACCAATGAATTTTTTAATTGAATAATACAATGAAATAGTATTGAATAGATAAAAACAAATAACTAAATCTGATCCAATTAACTTTTCTCTCTGGAGAAAATAATGAAATATTTAATAAAAGAATTTGTGTGTTTATTGTGAGCTATGTTAAATAATCCTTCATCAAATTGCATTTTAAAATATTTCGCAATTTCAATTATAATTCCTTCAGAAGAATTCTTTTTTTTCTATGGCTTTGAAATAACAAAAAGAAAAGAAGAAGAAGAAGAACAACAAAAAATAATTAAATTTAAAAACAAAAATACAAAAGTGATTTGGACTGTTTATATTTTTTTTTTTTTTAAATTGAAGGCATAGAAAAAACAATGCAAATGTTGAATTATTTAACGTAAATGAAGTAATACGTGTTCATAGGATAACTTAGGAGTTCTACGATAAGTATACTAACATAGCTTATCTTCTTTCCGGTTTTCAATTTGTTCAAACGATAGATATATAACTCAGGTGACATCCAATATCGAAGATATAAGTTAACATTTTATTGTTTTTCGATAAAAGAAAAAAAAGAACACTTTATACATACGTGTATGTAAAAAAGAACATTTAGATGGTGCAAAGAAAAATGTATTTTTATTCGTCAATCTATCAAGTTTATTTAAAAAGTTACTTATACGATTATATATATA